CGGGCAGAGGAACTGTGAGGCTTGTTCTACGTCAACTCCCAGAGGCTCCCAGGGGAATTGAGCCCAGTTGCCATTTTCAGTCATAATAAGCTCATTGGTGCCTTTGTATTGGGTTCCTTCCTTTTCCTACCTGCGTCTCTTCATTTTTCCCATCCCCTGCCGGTGCTTCTTGGAATCTCCTCCCTGATAAGCTACTTGTACCCAAATCCTTGTCTCAAGCTCTGCTTTGGGAGAAGCTCAAGCCAAGCTTACAATATATTTTGGTAATTACCAGGCATGGCTCTTTTTGAGTGTGAGACAAGGTCTTGCTCTGTCACCCAGGCTGAAGTGCAGTGGTGGTGCAACCATGGCTCACTGCCGCCTTGATCTCATGGGCTCCAGTGATCCTGCCACCTCAGCCTCCTGTGTAGCTGGGACCACATGTGTGCATCACTGTATCTAGCTACTTTTTAAAGTTTTTTTAGAGATGGGGTCTCGCTGTGTTGCCCATGATGGTCTTGAACTCCGGGCTTAACTCATCCTCCTGCCTCAGCCTCCCAAAGTCCTGAGTTTATAGGGATGAGCCACAGTTCCCTGCCTGGTCATGGGTCTTCTCTATCAAAATGTTCTCCGGTATTCTTGTGCAATTTTTAGATGATTTTTTTAAACTACTCTGGCTTTAAAGGTTTTCATTTACTGTGGAATAAGTCATGTGTGCATGCAGAACCACAGCATATCAGTCCCTACAGTGAAAACTAAGGCTCATTCTGTTCCCATCTTCCCATCTCAAGAGGTTACTGTCTCCAGTTGTAGCTTTGCTATTTATTCTCAGTTAAAGAATATAACCTCTTTATTACATTCCAAATAATGAGCTTGTCAAGTTAGTTTTAAAATCTATTTAGAAACCCTTCAATAGAATTTTGAAACTCTACCTGTGAGTAGGTGGAACCCAAAGGACTTTTTTTTTTTTTTTAAGACAGAGTCTTGCTGTGTTTCCCAGCCTTGAGTGCGCTGATGCAATCCTGGCTCACTGTAACCTCCGACTCCCAGGTTTAAGCGATCCTCCTGCTTCAGCCTCCCAAGTAGCTGGGATTACAGGCACCTGCCACCATGCCCAGCTAATTTTTGTATTTTTATTAGAGACAGCATTTCACTATGTTGGTCAGGCTGGTCTTGAACCCCTGACCTCATGACCCGCCCGCCTCAGTCTCCCAAAGTGCTGGGATTACAGGCATGAGCCACTGCACCTGGCTTTTTTTTTTTTTTTTTTGAGACAGAGTTTCACTCTGTCACCTAGGCTGGAATGCAGTGCCACAATCTCAGCTTGCCGCAACCTCTGCCCCCGGGTTCAAGCAGTTCTCCTGCCTCAGTCTCCCGAGTAGCTGGGAATACGGGCATGTGCCACGATGCCTGGCTAATTTTTTTTTTTTTTTTTGAGATGAAGTCTCACTCTGTCGCCCAGGCTGGAGTATAATGGTATGATCTCAGCTCATTGCAACCTTCATCTCCTGGGTTCAAGTGATTCTCCTGCCTCAGCCTCCTGAGTAGCTGGGATTACAGGTGCCCACCACCACACCCAGCTAATTTTTGTATTTTTAGTAGAGACGGAGTTTCACCAGGTTGGCCAGGCTAGTCTTGAACTCCTGACCTCAGGTGATCCACCTGCCTTGGCCTCCCAAAGTGCTGGGATTACAGATGTGAGCCACCTCGCTCAGCCTAATTTTTGTATTTTAGGTAGAGATGGGGTTTCACCATGTTGGTCAGGCTGGTCTTGAACTCCTGACCTCAGGTGATCCACCTGTCTTGGCCTCCCAAAGTGCTGGGATTACAGATGTGAGTCACCTCGCCCAGCCTAATTTTTGTATTTTTAGTAGAGATGGGGTTTCACCATGTTGGTCAGGCTTGTCTTGAACTGCTGATCTCAGGTGATCTGCCTGTGTTGGCCTCCCAGAGTGTTGGGATGCAGATGTGAGCCACCCTGCCTGGCCTAGACCACAACTTTTATTGAAGTGGCCATGCACAGCAACAGCAGAAATACTGCTTCTTTCAGAGCAGGACTAATCCAGGGACAGTGTATCTAGAGTAGCAGCCCAGAAACAGTTCTGTGGCATATTTATACCCACTTTTAATTATCTGAAAATTAAGTGGCGAATTATGCAGAGATTTCTAGAAAAGGGGTGGTAACTTCCAGTTTGTCTGAGTTATTGCCATAGAAAGGAGCAGTAATTTCTGGGTATTGCTTTGGCAATGCTCCAAAGAAAAGTCAGCACTGGGACAAAGGCTCTCTCAGCAAGGCAATCTTTACTTCTTGCAGAAAAGGTGTTTTTGTCTTGCAGAAGATAAATATGTCTGCTTTTCCTTTGTTCATTGTATTCTTGTGTTAAGATAGCTAACAGAAGCACCCTTTCTGCAGAAAGTAAAGATTGCCTTGCTAAGAGATCCTCTGTCTCAGTGCTGATTTTTCTTTGCAGCATCAAGCATCTATTTCCAACACAATGGTAAACTGACAGGGCACTCTGGTGGCATGTCTTTACGGAAAGCTGCTTCAACCTTGGCCCTGTTTCATCTAGTCATCAGTTGGGTCTGGTGTCTGCACCCCACCTCTGGAGCTGATGAGCCTGACCAACATGGAGAAATCCCATCTACTAAAAATACAAAATTAGCCAGGCATGGTGGCAAATGCCTGTCATCTCAGCTACTCGGGAGGCTCAGGCAGGAGGATTGCTTGAACCTGGGAGGCGGAGGTTGGCATGAGCTGAGATTGCACCTTGCACTCCAGCCTGGGCAACAAGAGGGAAAACTCCGTCTCAAAAAAAAGCTTGCATAGGTAAATGCTGACAGCTGTGCCAATAGAAAAGGGAATCAGGTGTATCCAACATGGAGGCTCCCTCTTTTCTCTTCTTTGTCAACCACTGCCACAGGAAAGGGCAGGCAACAGGGTGCCAGCCAGGTAGAGAACCATCTGCATAACAAAGGATTAGGGTGGGCAGTCAGCTTCCTTACACTATGCAAATGACACACCTGGTTCGACCAATCTCTTGTCCCCTATGTAAATCAGTCACCGCCTCCTCAGGCTCATCTGTGAAACCCTGTGCATTTCACCATGGAACTGGAAGACCCACCCAGGATCCCCTTCTCTCTGCAGAAGAGACAGCTGTTCTCTTTTTGCTTTCTTTTGCCTATTAAACCTCTGCTTTTGTTTTTTTTTTTTTGAGACAGGGTCTTGTTGTCATCCATGCTGGAGTGCAGTGGTGCAATCTCGGTTCACTGCAACCTCTGCCTCCCAGGTTCAAGTGATCCTCTTGCCTCAGCTTCCCGAGTAGCTGGCATTACAGGTACGTGTCACCATGCCCAGTTAATTTTTGTATTTTTAGTAGAGACGGGGTTTCACCAGGTCAGTAAGGCTGGTCTCGAACTCCTTACCTTAAGTGACCCACCTGCCTCGGCCTCCCAAAATGCTGGGATTACAGGTGTGAGCCACTGTGCCCAGCCCTAAACCTCTGCTCTTAAACTGACTCCTTGTGTGTGTCGGCATCCTCAATTTCCTTGGTGTGAGGCAACAAACCTCTGGTATTACCCCAGACAAATGCCACTGGTTCATTACAATGAGATACTTTGTAATCAGCCTTAAAAAATAAAGAAAATTTAGACACATGCTACAATGTATAGATCAACCTTAAAACTATCATGCTGAGCAAAAAAAGCTAGACACAGAAAGTCACATATTGTACAATTTTATGTATATGAAATATCCAAATTAGGCAAATCCATAGAGGCAGAAAGCAGATTAGTGGTTACCAGGGGTTGTTGTAAGGGAGAATGAGGCTGGTGTGGATAGGTTTCCTTTAGGGGTGTTGGAATGTTTTGGAACTAGTGATGATGGTTGCACAGCCTTGTGAATGTACTGATTTTTTCTTTTTTTTTTTTTTTTTTAGCAGAGTCTTGCTTTATCACCCAGGCTGGAGTACGGTGATGCGATCTCAACTCACTGCAACCGCCTCCCCAGTTCAAGCAATTCTCCTGCCTCAGCCTCCTGAGGAGCTGGGATTACAGGCATCTGCCACCACACCTGGCTAATGTTTGTGTTTTTAGTAGAAAAGAACAATGAGGAAAAGAGTTAATCTATAATTTAAGAAGCAGAATTATGAGCATTCTCAACAAACTACATGACTCCAGGGCATAACTTCCCCCTTGGCATGCTAGATTTAGAGAGTCCTGAAATTTTCTTTCCCTATTTTCTTTTGTTTTTTTGTTTTTGTTTTTGTTTTTGTTTTTTAAGACTGACTCTCGCTCTGTCTCCCAGGCTGGAGTGCAGTGGTGAGATTTATTTATCAGTTCCAGGAGCGTTTTGGTGGAATCTTCAGGGTTTTTCACATATGGAATCACGTGATCAGTGAAGAAAGGTAGTTTGACTTCTTTTCCAATTGGGATACCTTTTATTTCTTTCTCTTGCCTAATTGCTCTGGCTAGGACTTCTGACATATACTGTTTTTATTCACCTGCTGGTGGCCACACAGTTTGTTCCAATATGGAAAGAACCAAATTTAGGAATTTGGGAACAATTCGAAGCCATTATGAATCTTTTTTTTTTTTTTTTTTTTGAGACAGTCTCTCTCTGTCACCCAGGCTGGAATGCAATGGCACGATCTCGGCTCACTGCAAGCTCTGCCTCTTGGGTTCAAGCAATTCTTCTGCCTCAGCCTCCTGAGTAGTGGGGGCTACAGGCACGCACCACCACTCATGGCTAATTTTTGTATTTTTAGTAGAGACAGGGTTTCACCATATTGGCCAGGCTGGTCTCAAACTCCTGACCTCATGATCTGCCTACCTAATCCTCCCAAAGTGCTGTGATTACAGATGTGAGCCACCGCACCCGGCCCAAAGCCATTATGAAGCTTTTCTTTCTTCCTTGATGCCATTTGACTGTCTTTGTCTAACAGTACTGGCTATGGAGGCAGACCATCTGAGTTCAAATCCCAGCTGTCCTGTTTACCAGCTGTGTGACTGTGGGCCAGTTACCTAACCTCACTGTACTTCAGTATCCCCCATCTGCAAAATGGAAATCATATGATCTACGAGAGGGTAGGAAGATTCAAATGAATGAGTTTATAAACTTGCTTGAAAAGTGCTTGACTGTTATAGGCGTTAAATAAACAAGCAATTATGATTCAGCCCCAACTCCCAAAGTCAGCAGAAATTCTCATAAATGAGGACATCAGCAGAGCAAGGCAATCAAGCCTGGAGGTCAGGGGGATGATGGTTCCAGGAACTAGGGGCACTGCCTGCCCATCCCTGCCCTAGGTGGAGGGGCATAACCAAGTCGCTTTTCATGCAAACTTACTGGATTTCATTAAAAGCATCGCATAGCTCAGTGATGCCATGAGTGGACAAATCCTTCTCCCTGTCAATCTCAGACCATCCCCCCCCCAGCTCCTTGAAACTTCTGCAAGTCAGGGCCATCTCATGCTCTGCCCCCTCCCTCTTGGCTTTCGGGTGTTACATCCCTCCCCTGTTTCCTGTTTTTCTTCCTCCAGAAGAAGAGATTTAGGGAGTGAGGATCATGAGATGGGAAATAAGAGCTGTGGTCCCCAGAAGTTCTGGACATTGAGGGACAGTCGGGAAACATGAGTGACTCCAAGGAACCGAGGGCACAGCCGCTGGGCCTCTTGGGTGAGGCTGAGTTGGGACTCTGGGGTCCTGGGTTGGGGAAGGGGAGGGCCAGCCCTGGCCTCAGCCTGTTCAGGTTCTGAGTTCTTGTTTATCCATTCAGAAGAGGAAGAGCTGATAACCAGCGGTATGAATTTTTTTCCAAGAGACTTTGGATTCCGACAGACTCGAGGCTACAAGAGCTTAGCAGGTAGAGAAGAGTTAGTTAGAAGAGAGGAGGAAGTAGAGCCTCCCAGGCCCCTGAGTCCCAGGGAGCTGGTGGCTGGAGCCTGGATTCCTGGAACCTGGGGAGGTGGGGCTGAGGCTTGGATTCCTGGGACCTGGGGTGGAAGGAGCTGGAGCCTGGACTCCTGGGTCCTAGAGGCGGGGGCTGGGGCCTGGACTACTGAGACTTGAAGAGGTGGAGGCTGGGGGCTGGGTTTCGGGGTCCTGGGAAGGTGGGGGTTATGGGCTAGGTCTTGGGGAGATGGGGTCTGGGGGCTTGGACTCCTGTGTCCGAGGGAGGTGGAGGCTGGAGTCTGGACTCCTGGGACATGGAGAGATGGGAGCTGGGGCCTGGGTTCCTGGGTCCTGGGGAGGTGAGGGCTTGGGTCTGGACTCCTGAATCCCGAGGAGGTGGGAGGAGGATCCTGGACTCCTGGGTCCTAAGGAGGCGGGGGCTGAGGCCTGGACTACTGAGACCGTAGCCTTAAGGTAGAGGCTGGGGCCTGGGTTCCTGGGTCTTGGGGAGGTGGGGGCTGGGGCC